TGTTAATCTTGTTCCATTGGCAGATTTCATTTTATTTTTTATTTTTCTGCTTCCTTCAAGCCAAAAAAAAAATCTAAATTTTATTAATTTATTTGTCTATTTTTTTGTTTGGAGTGGTCTTTTTTCCAGTCTAAATTTGATTTAGGTAATCTTGAATGATAAGCCGCTTTAATTTGCTTACTTACCTCAAACTTGCTCATGAACTCAGCAAAAATGCCAAAGAATGCCTCAGAGGTGGTGGACGTGCCGTCCTCGCCAAAGTACGAGGCGGTTCGGCTGAACTCCTCCATGGCTCTTTGTTGGAGGGATTCCAGAGACTGCAGAGCTGGATGACTGTTTTCCAGGAAGTTCTGCATTCAAAAAGTCAAAGAACTAAAAGGTCTTGGACACTTCTTCTTCGTTTTTGTTTAATTTTTTGTTTATTCTGAAGGATACGCTCATGACGACGGCAAAGCGATCCTCGGACGTCGCAGGCATCTTCTGACAAGCCGCACGGATTTCCTGAATAGTGGAATGAATGTCGTTCACATCCGATGTGATAGTTCTCTGGTTCACTAAAGACAAAAAAAAATTGTGACTTTGTGTGTATTAAAATGTCAAGTAAAAGAAGATGATTAATGTCAAACATAAAATTCTTAAAATGCAACACAAAACCTCAAACTTTCACCTTTTGCTGCAAGAGAAACCATGGTCAGGTCTTTGGAGAAATCCAACACATCTGGAAAATGTTGACACAATGATTTGACCAGAATATGTAGAAAGGTTGATCTCCCATCGACTGTTTTAGTTGTGCTCAGCTGAAGAGGGAAAAGAGGAACAAGTTCAAAACAGTGGAGGGGGAAAAGGCAACTCTTTAACAAACAAAACATTTGGTTTCACCTCAAGTCAAATAGTGTTTTTAGCGTTGTGTACCTCGGTGAGAAAGTTGATTTTAAAGCCTGTAGTCTTGCTGGTTTTAGGCTGGCTGTTATTCAAGTAGTTCCCCATCGCTAAGACAAACTGAAGAAAGGCCAAAAAACAAGATTAAAAAAAAATTGAAACTGAAAAAAATAAACATGAACTCCATCATTTTTGGTTTGGATTATGTCTCTGGGCTGCAGGGTCACCTCTAGTATCTTAGCCAGCTTCTTGCTGGTCTTCAGCTCGATGGAGGCTTTGATGATACAGTCGTACGCTCCCCTCAGCTCCTCCGTCTTCTCCTGGAGAGAACACTTGAAGAGCAGACTCTGCAGACGGGTCTTAAACTCTGGAACAGATAACATCTGACAGACGAGGCCTCAGATCACACACACATCCACAAACCAGCGAGAAAAAACAAAAACAAAAAGCATTCTCTCTGCCAGGACTGTACCTGCAGCACAAACTGGTCCGGCTCGCTGAGTTTGCTGGGGTCCTCTCTGTACTCTTCGTATTTTTTCATCTCTTCTGCGTCGGGAGCGTAGAGCAGCAGCTGCTTGATGTGAGCCGGCTCCAGTCGGTCTGTGGCCATGCTCATCAGGACCTGACGCAGCTCACTGGGGGAGAGCTTCAGGTGGGCAATAAGGATGGCTACAGGATCAAAAAATAAAATAAAAGCAAATTACTGGATGGAAAAAGAAAGCCTCTGATGATGAGGGATATTTCAGTAGCTAGTAAAAATAAAGTATATAGGACATGTGTCAAACTCAAGGTCTGCGGGCCAGATGTGGCCCGTGGGTGAATCCTGTGTGGCCCACCAGGGCCAAAAGAAAAAAAAACATTTTTTTACTTAACATGAAATTTGTTTCTTATATAAATGGTAAACTTTAAATTTATGATTAAATGCAACAAAATAAATGTAAAAGGTGAAAGATAATGACAATTGTCCTGCTCCTGAACTGTTGGCTTTAAGTAACTGATCAATTTAGTTGGATAGCACAACATTAAAAGCACAGTGTGTAGATTTGTTGTTTTCAGCGACATCTAGTGGTTGAGTGGTTGAATCATCCTCCCTGGTCCTCCCCCCAACCCCACCCCCCACTTCCAAA